GTCTTAGATGTTAGTGTGTGTTTACACTTACACATGCGAGACAAGCATTGCACATAGAGTGTAATGGTCCACTGTGTTAGCGTATTAAGTGGTGAAGCTGTTAACTCCACTACCCATCTTTATCCTCGAAAAGTTGAGTGCATTGACTGAGGCTATTGAGGAACCACACACACACACACCTACACACACCTTGACATTCACTCAGCAGTCTTATGTTCTGGTCTGATTGTGTTGTCAGCTGAAATTCCATTAGAATGGTGGCATCATAAAGTCAGTACTTTCTTAACAGTCCCCTCCAGTTTAGTGTATGAGGACGCTCCAACGTGATTTAAACTGATAAAATGAATATAAAGCTATTTAAACTCCAGAGAGGGTAGATGGGTTTTTCGCTGCTGCTATGCATGCACATACCTTTGCTATACACACCCCTGCACGAACTCTCCTTTACTGTTGAATCTCATCTTGTTTCTACCAGTATTTCTGGAGCTTATTTCATTAGCATATTTTTCCACATCTCAGACATCAGGGGTCAGAGAGCAAGGTCAGCCAGTGTGACACTCAAGGACATTCAGACATTGATAAGCTCCAGCTGTTAAAAGAGATCAAACCTGTGACCTTCAAGCTGGACACATGAACCAGACACAGCTCAAACACCCTCAGAGCATCCGCAACGTAAACTATCAGTTGCTGCAACTTCGACCTTTGTCTGATCACACAATCCAGAGATAATGTGGGCAGATTCACTTCTTGTTCACCTCCTCAGTGTTACTGCACCCGTAGTTTATGTGAGAGTCTAATGGACCCTTCCATTCACTCCATCCATCCATCCATCCATGCTTCCATCCATGCTTCCATTCATTCATCCATCCATCCTTCACTCTGCTTTCTCTCTTCCACCATGGCTGCTCTCCTTCTCTTCACACGCCCGCCCTCCTTTCTCTTACACAAGTGGGTGACAGATGTGCGCCACTGTAGAGAGCTCACAGACACATAGTGCTCTGCTGTCAGGCACCACTACTCTCGTGTGTGTGTGTGTGTGTGTGTGCGTAGTTGTGTTGCCTTGATGCGAGATGTAAGGCATCATGTAATGCTATATTTGTCTTTTAGAGTGTATTGTGTTTGCAGATACACATTTAGACCTTGTCTACATTACTGTGATATATTTTTTTAATGGTTTCTAGTCTTTTTTTAAAAGAACTTCTGTTGACACGACCTTTGTTTCTGCAAAATATCTCCCATAATGACTACAAAAGCTTAAACAAGCATGCCAGGCCAGAAGGTGGCGATAAAGTCTAGATCAATGGTCCGTCAAATACCAGAGAATAAATTTGTTAGCATGCTCTGTGATCTTATTGTCCTTTGGTGGTAGTCACTTCAAAACCAATAGCTCAGCTCATCATGTGCCATAGTATAATTTTTAAACTTACTATCTCTGATCATAAACTGGCGATGCCTGTGAATGTATGTAGTCTGGTGCAGTAATGTTAAGTTGAGCTAGCAGTGCTAACCAAACGTAGAGAGAAACCCATAGTGCATTGTGACATTTTCCAAAACACTCCGTTTTAAATGTACACACACATATACAGAGGAGTTATTGAGTTTTTGGAGAGGTTGAAGTTTGTTTGGAAAAATATCCATTACATTAGTGTGAACAGAACATTTAGACACACAGAGTAGACATACATTACTGCTCCATGAGATGTAGGAATGAAATGGTCAACCCCCCCCCTCACTTACAAACATGCACATTTCCGCTCACCTCACATGTAATGTAATCACCTGGGCTCTCCATGCCTCCTAACCCAATAAAGCTGACAGCCTCTGATACACACACACTCAACAACAGACACACACATCCTCCGGAACACCATGTGATAGAAATACCTCTCCTTTCATTTCATCCTCTGTTCCCTTTCCGTCTGCCTTTCTGTCTCTCCTGCAACAAACTGACTGAGGCAAACCACAGCAGCTGTTAGAGTTTTAAACCCTGGCTTCTGGAGTTTGTAAGTATTAGTCACTGACCCATCCCTGTTAAATCTCGCAGAGTTTTGGGGACTGGCTCGAGCCGGTCCAAGGTGCCAGAATGAAGTGTGAGCGTCGGGGATTTAGATGAAAAGAAAGACAGAGTTGGAGGGACAGCAGAGCAGACTGACAGTGTGGATGCTCTTTGTTACATTATTCGAGCACAATCATGAATAAGGACAAAGAGGCTGAAAAGAAAGGAAGAAGTAGTAAAAATGTGTTTGTGTGTAAGTATGCTCATCCGGGTCTGCCCGGCGTTGCTGAGGGTGACCAGGCGTGGCGGCCATAACTGCTCCTCCAAGAGCCATCTGCTCCTCGCCGCAGCAACTGTTGCCAGGGTACCTGCTCTCTTCTCTCCTCTTATCTCCCCAGTCCCACCTTTTACTCCTCCTCTTTTGGCTTGACCCCCCCACCACCACCACCGCTGCTTCCTCTTGTTTAAGAAGACCTGCTCAGCTTTTCCTCTCCTCTTCTCTTCTCTTCTCTCCTCTCCTTTTCTCATCTGCTCTCTTCTGTTCATTATTTGCTCACACATGCTCTTTTATTTTCTGTTAATTTAATTTGCTTTTTCATTCTAAAGAGGATACCTGCTCTCTATTCAATGAGCTTTATTGGCATGACATTCAATTTATTGTATATTAGCAACGCTACAGGAAACTGCTAATAACACTTATACTTCTGCTGATGCAGTTGCTCTTTTTTCATCTTTACCCTCATGTGCCTGTCTGTTTCGTATCATATAAATATTTATATATATATATTTATATATATATAGTTTTCTGTCATTTCTTCAGCTCACACTATAAAACACACACCACCTTCACCAATCTTTAGTTCTCTCAGACTTTATCCCCTTCGTTCTCTGGAAAATGTGTGGACATGACTCAGGACCCCCCCCACACACAGACACACACACATCTACAGAGTGAGAGAAGGTAGAAAGAGTGAAGAAAGGAGTTTGATGATGGGGTGTTTAGAGGGAGAGGAAGAAAAAAGGTGGAGAGAGTGAGTGGGGGAGAGGGAGAGATCGTAGATCAGAACCGTCATGATTGAGCCATCTGCTGAGAGGACAGAGAGAGACACACACACACACACACACACACACACACACACACACACACACACACACACACACACTTAAAGATCACCACTGCCACCCGTTGGTCAAATCCTTACACTACTCCTCTCCTTCCTATCTCCACTCCTCTCCGGCATGGTCTCCGTGCTCTGCTGCCATCCAGCAGGAACATGCCAACCAGAGATGAACCACGTAGCTCTGAACATCGATCAGTCTCGTCTGGCCGTCTGGTGAGCCAGTCTTAAGCAGCCAATTCTGTTTGCTCCACAGGGTTTTTCTTGTGCTCTAATATATGAGCTTTATCTCCACCTAACTCCTTTCTAAGAAGAGCGGAGCCTCAATACGGATTATGAGGCTTTGACTCTTTCAAAACATATCGAGTATAGTGGTGTGTTGCAGACTATGGCCAACGCCACGATTCACAACTGTAATCCTGCTTTTGCTGTTTTGATTCTCTCCCTACAGTTAGAAACTGTTTTGTTGTAGTGTGTGTGCTCTGTGTGGCCGTGTGTGGTACTATTTTTATATGTGCAAACCCTGTACTGGCCCGAATCGTCCTCTCTCCTCCTCTCAGACCTTCTCCCTCTCTTATTGCCTAAACAATGTCCACTCTCATTCAGCTGTCTAACCTTTAATAGATTTATAAACGCTCCTCTCCCATTGGCCAGAGCAGGCCATTTCATCCTATTAAAGATTTGCATAAGGCTGAGTGGAGCAGGAAGTGCTCTTTATATGCTAATGAGGAGATAATGTATGCAGCAGGGAGCCACCAAAGCTCTGTTGGGAGGACTCAGGGTGGCCTGATGTGCTGAATCTTGAAGCAGTCCTGTCTTTATCTGGCTCCTCACTCTCATTCACAGACACCTGGACTGTGTCTTTGTGAGCTTCTATAAAGCATAACGCTCGACTGCAGTGTCTTGCCTGAAACAGATTGTGTGAAGTCGATAGTGTAGATGCCTACAATGCTGGGAGCGTGTTGAATATGCAAACCCTCGTAATGATGTTACCTACACTTGTGATACAGAGCTGTAACAATGAAGTGTGTGTGTGTGTGTGTGTGTGTGTGTGTGTGTGTGTGTGTGTTTGTTTGTCGTGTAAAAGATCGTTTAGCCTTTTTTTTGTTTAGCTTTTCATTTAATAGACCTTCAAGCACAACATTTTGGAAATTCATTTGTTTGCTTTCTTGCCAAGAGTCTTATGAGAAGATAAGAACCACTCTCTGATATCTGTACTGTACTAATGAACCAATCCCTCGCAGCAGCTAAGCATAGCTCAAAGGCACAAAAACACAACATCTGCTTACCAGCACCTCAGAAACCCACTAGTTAGCAAATTGTATCTTGTTTAATCCACACAAAAATGGAAGTGTCTTAAAATAGTTCTGCTGAGTAGTTTTTGAGTAGATCCAAGATGGCTGTTTCCAGTTTTTAGATTTTGTAGGATTAGTATCTATCATCTCATCTCAGGCTACATCCATACTTCTACATTTGAAAACGACATTTTCTAACAATCTCTGTTTATGTGAGCATTTTTGCTCCGTATCAGTTTTAATCCCCCCGTCCATAATAGGATAGCTTGTCTTCTATGTAAGCAGTTGTATCATTGTAAAATGCAGAATTTTAGTGCGCAACAGCTGTTAGCAAAGACAATAGAGTCAGCAATGCTTGTAGTTTAATATCCCTGATGTGTTCTACGCTGGTAGCCTCTTTTGGGAGAGGTGATTTTTAGTGGCTAGTGTAGCGCGTAGTGTGGACATCAGGTGTATCATTAGCAGAGTTGCTAACTAGAAAGCAAATTGGCCTGTCATTACACAAAGAGTTAGTATTTTAACGTGATTGATTGAGAGGTGATTGACCAACACTCCATCTTACCAACTGTGCCCTTCTTTCTGTCTGTGCAGGAGCAAGGTGTGGTGGGAATGTCACGACCACCGGGCGCTATCCCTCCTCCTCACCCTGGGGGAGGTGTTGCCTCAGGGGTTGGACCCAACCAGGGGTCAGGACCACCTCCGGGCTACGTGGGCAATCAGCAGCAGGCGGCCATGATGAAACAGATGATGGCGATGGAGCAGGAGAAGCGGGTGCAGATGCACATGATGGAGCAGCAGAAACAGCAGCTCTTCAGAGAACAGAGGCAGCAGCAGCAGCAGCAGCTACTGGCTGAGCAGGTGAGGCTTTTGTAGGTTAGTGTGTCTGTGTGGGATTAAAAAGCAGAGTGATTCATCTGTCACGCATTAAATTATAATTTGTGTGTGAACATTGTTTGTTCATACATCCCTGTATATTTGTGTGTCTGCAGCTCTAACAAGAGCAGCCCCATCCTCTCGTCTTTACTGTTGTCTGGTTGCATGTATAATTACCCTCTACCAGCCCCCTCTCCACTACTTTCTTTTCATCTATGTGTGTGTGTGCACGCACATGCATGCATATGTGTGTGCTTGCGAGTGTGTGGCCGCCTGCTGTGATAATGTGGTGTTTTCTTCTCATTTCTCTCTCTGTGAGGGAATCAAGTACTAAAGAGTTCTGAACTCTGAAGTCACCACCCACCATGTTGGTTTTAATTGGATCTTCTAAAACATACACAGACACACAAAATATAGGTGTCTGAACGGAAACACATCCTGCTGGGGTTTAGTGTGTGTTGTTAACTGGATATAATGTCTCTCTTTAAACAAGCAACACCCTCTCCTGTCCAGGCTCACAATCAGCTGTTGTTTTAATGCTGCAAAGACCCACACTATTTATTAATGATAAAAACATTTTTTTATTTAATTTCCAGTACCAGCAACACAAGAGTGTCTAGGCTGACTTTGGTTTATTTGAACACTGATCACTTATGGTCCATCTGTTGGAGAGCATCATGCAAATACTGTACACCAATCCCACCAGCACACACCTGTCTCACTTCAGCAGTACCAAAAACATCTGTCTCACTCTGCTGTGCCATATATAACCCATGAGGATGCATTGCTCAGTATGTCCACTGGTCCGTTCATACATTAGGTTTTAACATCAGACCTCGAAAACCATGTGGGTTTTTATTTTCATGAAACTTCATCGGTATGTTAATGTATGCCTCTTGATATTTTGTATTTCTTGAAAATTCTATTGGAGAAACCTGACTTCAATCAAGAGGAGGCTCTCAACTCTGAACTTATGAGCAATGAGCAACAGAAAGACACTACACAGCATTGTGTTTACATGGTGTGGATATGAAGGGATTATCCTGTTGTCACTGGCACTGAATTACAGGATCACTCAATACTCGACACTTGAACATTAAATAAACACTATATAACATCGGAGTCTTTGGCATGGCTGCATTCGCAATTTGATAGCACCAAATAATGTGCTCTCTCAGGTTTTGTGGGTGCCTGGGTGATATGTATACAAACATCTGGCCTACCTCAGCTGTATCCAACATCTGTATTAAATCTAATGAAGCAAACATCTGTCCTTTATCAACATCTGCTCTACAGCGTGCACATTTTTACCAGGAAGTTCAGCATTATTAAGATCTAGAGACTGAAAGCCTTTATGCATCATTCAGTTATTGTATGGGAGCCTTATTTACCTCTGCATGCATGTTGTAACGCTGTTCCACTCTGTTAATGAAATCTGCTTTGTAGAACTGGTCTTACAGTTAAGTGTGACCCTGTTTCTGTGTGTCTCCAAAATACACCAAATATCTATGATGGCGTTACAATTAATAACTTCTATATGTCTGTGTCTGTAGCTCCAACAGCAGCAGCACCTCCCCAGACAGATGGGCCAGGGCCAGAGGAATCCATACCCCCAAGTCAATCAATACCAAGGTGAGAGACACAAACGCTTGCATTCATTCTATCTGTGCAACACAATGCACACAATGTATGCAAAAACGCAAGAATGGCAGCACCTCAATGGATTTTCTAATGAAGGAGGCAAGACCTGACCTAAATTCTTCAGCATTTTTATTGATGTCCACATTAGTAAATGGATTTTTGGCAAAACAATTTCCATTTCTTTGCAGAGCATCCAGATGGTTAAACAGAAAAAAGCTCACAATCACATATGTGAACTCGGTCTGCAAGAAGTATGGTATAGATGGTCAAGTGCCAAGACAGATTTTACAGTTTACTCTGACATATTCACAGACAGATAGACTCATAAAAACGTATGTATGCAAACAGCAGTGGCGACTGAACGTCACCCGGAAACCAAACCTTGTCTGCTCTGTCTGTCTCTGTCAGATACATCAGTTGGCACTCAGGCACTCCTCAGCCTCTCTCTCTCTCCTTTTCTGTCTCTCACCCTCTCCAAAAAAAATATAGAATATTCCTGCTCTGCCTGTTACCACGGCAACTTGTCTGTCCTGGATCCCCCCAGAGTTCCGGTGAAGTCAGAGAGATGGATGAGAGGAGGGAAGTGGGAGAGAAAGGGGGGGCTGGCAACAAGAGAAATAGATAGATAGTCTGGTAGGTAGAAGGAGGGAAGAAAGACAAGAGAGAGAGAGAGAGAGAGAGAAAGAGACGAGTGGGTGAGCGTATGATGGAGGGATAAACAAAATGCAGAGAGGGAGGAGGAGAGTCAAGTTGAAAGCCTTTTATAGCCATCAGAGAGACTGTCTGCAAGTCTGGGAGATAATGTGGAGAGGAAGACAGGGCTCCGACATGAAACCCTGGCCTGGACATACGTGTGTGTGTGTTTGTGTGTGTGTATCAGTGTCACCTACAGTGAGAACATACTCATATTTCTATGAAGCGATACATAGAATATGCATAGCTGTTTTGTTGTATTATGTCCCTCCTCTCAACCTACTCAAATATACGAGTCAGGAGTGTGTGATCCTCTTCGCTCTCACTCTTCTGTTACAGTTACAGTCCAAACTGTGAGGTGAGGGATTAGTGGACTGATGTCAGAAGTGGGTTTATTAGAGGACTTAGAGCCATTTCCACGTTAGCAGACCTCCTCAGCTCTGCCACTAGCGAGCCACTAATAGGAAAAAGTGGGAAAGTGAAGTGTTTGTGCTTAAGTGTGTAAGGTTTTTTCCTGTGGCAGGATTGGAAATGACTGGGAGAGAAGCATTTGTTTCCAGAGTAAACAGTTTGTCACAGAACATAAATCTTATCCCCAGCACTGACTTATTTGAGCAGTCTTATGTACTAGTAGTGGGTCTGGTAAACAGGCACCAAAGCTCTTTCACAAAGTCCAGTTACTCTGTGTCTGTAGAGCTTTTTTAGACATGCACTGAACTCTGGAAAATCTCCGGACATTCCCTCTTATGTGAAGTTTCTCCGGCCAGCCCCTAAGTAAAATCTCTGGAGAATGTCTGAATAAGAGATCCAAGGATTCACTGTGAGCATGTGGGCACGTTTATGTCGTTTCTAACATGTGAAGGATGTAAAACTGAAAAAATTAAAAAAGAATACAAATATCTCAGGATGACAAAAAGGAGCCATACATGTAAAAAAAAAACAGACAAAGGTGACAGGAGAGCTTTTGGTGGTAAAGGTAGATGCCAGTGTCTATGTCCTGTTTACAAAAACATATGTTCTCTGCAGAAGAATTTATACTCTACATCCTGCCTCCATCCCTCACCTGAAGTCTCCAGAAATGCGTCCCGCTGCGTTGTTCATGTATGAAAGACACACTCTGGAGAAAGTCCAGATCCAATTATGCAGACATCCTCCAGAGTTCATTTATGAAAACGGCTTAATTCTTTCCCAACTCCATAGTCTCTGTTCTCTTGTTTTAACTCCTCTTGTCTTCCATTACCAGGTCCTTCCCAGGATCTGGCGTCCAGGAGCCAGGCTCTCCAGAACATTCGAGCTGCCCGACTCTTACAGCAGCAGCAGCAGAGCCAGCAGCAGATGGTCCAGATGAGTTCTGTTCAGAGCCAGGGTGGCTCTGTGGGACCCCAAGCGGACATGGGCCTACCCTATGGCAACCAGGGGTCTAACCAGGGTTCCCTGTACGGGCTCAACCCCTCCATGAGCCAAATGATCCACCAGCAGCAGCACCAGAGCCAAAGCGTCCAAGCCTCCATGGGTCTTCCACCACAGCACAACCCCGCCGGAGGGCCACCACGGCAAGCAGGTGCGGGTCCTGGGGTCGGAGGTATGCCAGGAGGCCCAGGAGGTGGTGGAGCTGGAGGTTATGGGGGACAGGGGATGTTAATGAACTCCATGACCCAGCAACCCCTCAAAGGCCCTCCCAATGCCAAAGCTCAGGCACAGAGACTGCAAAGCATGCTGGGAGCAGGAGGAGGTGGCGGGGGAATGGGGGCGGGCGGCTGGCCGCAGCAGCAAGGACAGAGTCTGCAGGCCATGGGGGGAGGAGTCGGAAGGACTACAGGAAGTGGTGGAGGGGACATGGTGGGGTTCAGCTCAGCCCAGGGTTATGGGATGCAGCCAGGTCAACCCCCTCGCATGGCCAAGCAACATTTTCAGGGCCCGGGACAGGGGATGAGCCAGGGAATGGACCCAAGGGTGGGCAACCCAGCTGCAGGTATGGGTGGTCCCATGATGGGCCCTCACATGGTTGGTCAGCCCAGGACCAATCAGCCCCGGCCCATGGTCATGAACCAGGGAATGAACCAGGGGGTGATGGGCCAGGGGATGACTGGGATGGGGAGTTTCGGGCCAGGACCGGGGGGACCAGGAATCGGGACAGGGGGAGGTGGACCCTATGGACCCGGAGGTGTTGGGGTTGGAGGTCAGCCACAGGGCTACCAGAGGACAGCCAATCAGGACATGTCATCTTATGGATATGGGGGCGGGCCCTCAGGTGGTGGAGCCTTCGGATTGGGCGATGGCTCAGGGGCGGAGCTGGACTCAAGCGATGGGTGGATGGAGGAGTTTTTCCCGAGCCAATAGCCAACAGGGAAAGTGAAGAAGAGTTTTTACTGGATGAACTAAACATTAAAGTAGGACAAAAGTTAAAACCTGAGAGAGTAAAACAGAAAGGACGACACGACGTAGACTGGCATGTTTTTGTTTTGTAAAACATGGGCAAGGTTATAAATGAGTTCTTGTATTATGTTTCGTGTATGAGCGTGTGTGTATGTGTGCGATTGTGTGATGGAGAGAGAGCGATCATTATGTCTTGTGCATATTAATGAAAAACCAATATAGAGATTAAGAGGTGTGTTTCATTAGTTTCTTTTTTTTCTCTGCGGAATGAATTTTTCTCATGTTCCAGTGTTTGAAAGCGAGCCCCGTTTACACAGCAGCGCTTTGAGCCCGAGCTTCAGCCGAGGCTGATTGAACACCACAGACTGATGAAGGGGAAGGAAGACTTGTTCTCAAGACAGCAATTTATTTGTGTTTGTGTTTGTGCCACCCAGCTCAGTGCTGCTCAGATCTCTCAACTGTGTGAGGAGCTGAAGGGAGTAGAAAGCACTCTCAACGCTCCCATTTCCTCTCTTAGATTTGTGTCCCCCATATATACACACACGCACACACACACACATACAACATACACAAATCTCTCTCCCACACAATCTCTCACTCTTTTCTCTTGACTTGATCTCTCTCTGTTTCTCTCTCATCCTCCTATCTTTCCCAGCCTCTCTCCGGAGACTCGTTCCTCACTCTCAACACTCCTTTCTCTGTTTAAATTGTGAACATCACAACAGAACAAATGATGTTCCTCTATTGTGCCAGACAAGCACACTCTGCCCTCTAGTGCTTTTGCTAGGCAACCGACCTGGGTGGCGTTATTTTTTTTTTTTCTTTTCCTTTTTTTTTTTTTTGATAAAGGGGTTCATTTCCTGTGTGTGGCTGTGGATGACGGGTATGCACATAGAGGAAGACAAAGAGAATAGGCAGCTAAAGCAAGCATTTGGTCTCAAAAGCTCACACACACACAGACACACACACACACACACACACACACACACACACACACACACACCAATCACCCAACAAACAAACATCAGCCCGGGAGGATGAGCAGATGTGTGAGAGGCAGCTAACAGAGCTAATATGACATGAAACCCTCTCCCTGTGTGACACAAACCACATCACATGCATCAGGCTGACATGAAGCAGAATGATTCGCTGGGCACTGAATGTATTCAAGCACCACAAGTGACTTCTTATTTTTAAGGGAAAAAACGCTCATCAAAAAACCACCCACATATTGTTTTTTCCGTTGCTGTGTTTTATCTCTGACAACGATGCTGGTTGTATCTTTGTTGCTTAAAAAAAAAAAAAGTTGAAATTAGCCCTCTTTTAGTTTACGTTGTCTTTTTAATATCTGTTTGTCCTCCCGTCACACCTCAGCCTTCTCTTTCGATCGTGACACAGCTGGTTGGCAAGTCACCATGGCCCTGCTTTACATCATGGCTTCTCTCTTACCGCAGCTATAAAACACCCTCGCTCCAGACTAGAACATAACTGTGCTATACTGTAACACTACTGTGAAGAATACGAGTTGTCCCCTTGCAGCGCTTTACTAAAAAAATGAACCACTGCAGAGAGTTTTAGAGGAGGTAGAGAAGCTTCAGACAGCTGATCAGGGCTTAAAGGGTGGCTACAGTTAGCGCCAGTTAACATTAAACCAAGCAGTGCTTCCACTGAAGTCAGTGTCTCCCCTTCTCTCAGTAAACTGTAGTCTGTCCACTCCTTCGCCCTCATGGTTGAGTGATAAATATCTGTTAGATAGGTTTTAATACAGTAGTCGTTGGTAAGATAACACCTTACTCCTCTAACTGTTTTGCAATCTTGGTTAGAAGATGAATGAAACGAGTCTGCGCGTGCATTACTTTGTATTTAGTTCATCAGAGTGAACGTTTGGAGGATGATGCTGTAATCAACAAACCAAAAAGCCTTCTTCTCTGTAAACTAGCTCTCCTTGCCATCAACGCATCTGTTCTCATGGTTGTTGCTGTTGTACAAATCAACCCTTTAAATACAAACTCTAACCACCATGCCCGTTTGTCCCGTAGGTGTTGCTGCGTTGGGTAGCACCCACGAATGAGTACTTTGTTTTTTTCGTCATGCTCGGTGGGGTAGAAGTCCTCCGTCTCACTGTGTGGAGTTGAAGGTCAAGGGCAGACAGACGTATAGGTTGCAGCGTTCCCAGGTTCTATCAAGGGAGGATGGTAAAAACGAGTGAAACTCTGTGTCAGTGTCTGGATAAACTGGTCAGTGGCTCCACTGCTTATACTTCCAAAACTTTAATAGTACTGCAGCACCACAGGCAGGCTCATGTATAAATTCAGAGTGAAACGGAGGCGGTGTGTAGGAAAACACCTGAGGTTAACCACTCCAAACAAGAGGCAAGAAGGTAGACAAAAACTTGAGTTAGAGTAAAGGTCACAGCCGCTGCAACCCTTTTGTTTTTCTTCAGAGTGAGGATTCGTGATATGGTTTGAAATCCCTTCAGGAAGAGAGGAAGCTTCCTCCAAATATCTTTATGTACCGGGACCAAGTCTGTAGACAACATTTTAACAAAAGTTGTTGTTGTTGATGTTCTTTGTTTATTCAGTTTTTTTGTTTTTGTTTGTTTTTTTACTGGTGCTGACATATATGTGATTATGAGAAAAACTATATAAAAGATAATGGCTATTTGTAAATATGTTTTTACAGGTTTAAATACATCAGATAATACAGTCTCCACTCTGTAAAGAATTTACTGTTTGTTGGAAAAATAGAGAAGTATTTTTATTTTGAAGTTTTTTTGTTTTCACTTTTAACCCATCTGAGCTATGCCATTGCACTTCAGACAATGTCTTACTACTAATTTGTATTGTAAACCTCCTCTTTTACGGAATTTGATTTCATTTGTTTTTTTTTCTAGTTTGAGATTGACTCTGTTCTTAAGCAGTGCTTATTTCTTTTTATCCTGTACAGAATTCTGAAATGTTAACAAAAGAGAGTTACAAAGGACTTTTTGTTTGTTTGTTTTTCAAAAAGATACAATAAAGAGAGAATGTTCTCGCTGATCATATTAAATGAAAGTTTGTTGTTCATTGGTTTAATTTCAAGCACAGTCAGTACACCACATCCATGGAGGCCCAAAACTGAAAGAACATATTTCAAATATAACTATGTCAAACTGCAACTGACTAAATGCATAGCAGAACTGAATGCTTTGAAACTATTAAAATTGATTCACTAGATAAAAGAACATATATTTATTTTTTTTATTAAATCACACACAAAAACCTTAAACCACACACACTTACAAAATGTCCCTGTCCAAGATTTATTTCCTCTTTTGTTCTTGATGAGGAAACACAGAAAAAAAGATGACCTTTGCCCTCTGAGTGGCCCTAACTGGGTAAACATGGCCGAGATCATTCAAGTTTGTTCCAATAGTCTTGACAAAGTCTTCTCCAACCTGTTTTTGTTGACCATGCTAATGATGCCAGACAAACAGACCATTGCAAAACTTCAAACGTTTTCACGATGCATTGTGGGAAAGAATGAGTAAAGAAAACCCCAACACATTGTGACAGCACTACAAAATGGTGTACTTGCTGTACAGTGGACTACATAGTGATTAGTGAGTGATTTCAGACACATAGAAAGATGGTGTCTGTGAAGTGACATTGTTCAAATGCTGTTCACTGAGTGGATACAAGGATTTAAGAGCTGTGTGGTGTAATATGTGGATGTATGGCATCACATGAAATGGCTGGTGTCTTTAGCTCGATGAAAGCTCACTGTGTTGAGCTAAAAGCGGTTTGAATTAAGCTATTAAGCTATCTGGCCCCACAGTGTTCCCGGCACACACAACACAACCAACAAAATATCAGCTGGTGGTCTATTGTCTGTTTCAGGCCTCCACACACAACAACATCGATACTCACCCAGTTAGCAGACACACTCATTTCATTTCAGGGTCATGGAAGTGACAAAGACAAATGCACACACATTCATGTAGAGCCTAAAACCAGACTGACTAACTGCTGCAGTAATGTTTCGTCTAACAGACCTGATTTGCATAATTAGACTTGCATATGCTAAAGAGCAGAGCCTTAATTCTGTCTGGCAGTCGTCGCCATGATGAATCACGGGCTCCCTGTCGGTGGCAGCAGACAGACACACAGACAGAACACACGCAGGGCCCAGACCTTTTGGCTGTAATTCATCTTTTTCACAATCCACCCCTTTCAAACCCACTCCTCCTCATCCTGCGTCTGCCACGCCCCTTTTCTTCATCGCTCCTCTCCACCTTCCTCTCATCCTCTTCATATTCCTGCTGCATCTTTCCTCTCCCCCTCTCCTTAGGTGCCTTGTTTCTCCTCTCCACCATCACCACACACACACACATCCACCACACTCCTGCTCTCCTTCTGACATTGATAAATGGAGACTTACAGCGATGACAACATCATTACTCATGTTCAGTAGCGACACCACCTAGGACAGAGAAAAACGAGAGGAGGAGGGAGGATGAAGGACAGGACAGGAGGAAGATGGGGAGTGATGGGGTGGAGGAGGAAGGCTGCAGCCGGAGCTGTTTACTACAACCCACCCCCAAGCACACACCTTCCCATCTCCAGAGAACACCATCTTAAGGTGTTCATTACTGGTGTGAAAAAGTAGAACAACTGTTGATAGTACCGGCAGCCTGCAAGATTGAAACTCATCTCCTTCCTACACAAATCCATTCAGATGAAAAGAGCCACAGGGCTGTAAGAAAACAGCAATTTTCTTTATCGCTAAATCTGCTGCTCCTTTCAATTCATTATTTATTGTTTGAAACGTCAAAAAAAAAATAGCAAAGGCCGATCACTTGTTTCCAGGTTTCAAGGAATTTTATCCGGCTGACAAAAAGAGTCAAAAAAGATTTTGCATTTATGGAGTAACCACTCAAAGCTCTTTACACTGCAAGTCACATTCACCCATTCATACAGTGTTTCTATACACAGCACTTGTAAACACTGACACACCAGGGACAAGCTGAGGTTCAATATCTGTAACCAAGGACGCTTTGACATGCAGACTTTTTTTTAATAAATATATTACATTTATATTGGAAATCAACAACACTCTCACACCGTCAATCTAAAACTTATTGTATTTTTGCTTGATAAATTGCAAAACCTTGAAGTTTTTGAATGTAGAATTCAAATGGCCTTTTCTTGCATTTATGATAATCCATTCAGTACTGTCAAGACATTTCACTTGAAAAACAAAGCTTCAACTGCATGGTAGCACTTGAGGAACAGTCAGGAGATCATCAGGGTCGGAGGGATTCATCCTCCGAAAAAACCTCAGACAAATTTCACGGCTATCCATCTGAAAGTTATGGGGATATTTTAATTGAGACCAAAGTAGTGGACCAACCAACCATTTGAAATTAGCAGCGCAAGAGTGACATTTCTGAATTAATGTAGCTGCAAAAACGCATCATTTGTTTGGAGGAAAGAAATCAAACTAACTCAGTCATTGCAAAGGACTAGGGGCCTCATGAACAGACACAATCAATTGTCTTTCTCGCAGCCACAAGTCCAGTTTAATGATTGTCGGGTTTCCTCTCGTAGCCAAACACTTACAGACACCATCAGCTGTGCACACACTCAGGAGGCCCCGTAACGGGCACTAATCAGAACAACAAATGATGTGTCACAAAGAGCAGGAGATAAGTTGAAAGCATCATTCACTCTCTCACTGAGAGTAATAAGGTGAAGAAATGTAGCTGCAGAAATGTGGAGTGGAAAGACGAGCGGAGCGGAGAGAACAAGGGATGAGATAGTGTGGAGTGAGAGAGAGAAGTGTGTGTGTGTGTGTGTGTGTGTGTGTGCGTGCGCGTGTGTGTGTGGTGTCAGGTTGATGAATGTGGTAGCAGGAGCCAGTGTGGTGGTGGAAGAGTAGGAGGCCACCAGATAACAGCAGAGCAAGGCCTAAGCTGTCTCACACCATGAATAAAACACCATGAAAATCTCTCTCTCTTTCTCTCTCTCTCTCTCTCTCTCACCAACACACACACATACACAGGTTTGCAATTACCCATGGAGGACTTTATCGTGTTTCATTAAGTTATTTAAATGGAAAATATCAGACTGGGTATAACTGCTCTGTGTGCTGCCCCCTGGCTTGTTTCAGATAACCTGCACGTTTGTGTATTGTACACACACGCATGCACACACTGTGACCTGCCCACTATCTCTCTGTTTCAACTTAGAAGTGGTGCATGGTTCATTTGAAGACGAGCAAATACCAACAGACTGTTATGTTGGTTATGAGCAGTGA